AACACAAAATCTTCCTTATCTGTTTCTTTTCTTTTCCTTTTTTTTTTTTTTTTTTTTTTTGTTCTGCAGTTTTTCAAGTAGTAGAGACATTTTCCCAGCAGATTATGAGAAATCCATTTGTCTTTAGCATACAGTAGTTGCTAAACATATATAACTTTCAAATCCTCTCTGGGAAATAAGTGACAGAGACATTCAGTTAACCCAAACAACACATTTCACAGTAAGTGCTATGCTATCAAAAGGCCATTGGACTGAATAGCTGAATGTCCCCTCATTTAAGGATATGGAGGGAGCCAGGACCAGGAGATGCTGGGAAGCTTGTCATCTTACAGTCAGTATAAATATTTGTAGATACACTGAACAGAGACTGAACTCTGCCAAACTTCTGGCTCCTGGTTTAACAGAAGAATTCCTCCCTCCGTTTAGTGTTCAACTAAAATAAGACAGCAAGGAGTTGTAGGCCTTGTCTGCTGTGCAAAGTTCCACTGAGAACTGATTTTAAATAGATCTAATTAGATGAAAGCACATTGCTAGCATGAATGCACTTGCATCATTTTACACCATGCTTTACTTCATTTAATTTCATTTTATAGCAGTTTAAATATATATCTATTTCAGGGGTTAGCACTGAATAGAGCAAATCAATTAAAAAATTCTGTGATATCCTTTTCCAGTGCAATTAGTTTTCATAGAGCTTTTTTGTTTCCCTCTATTGATCTCAGTGACTATTCTGGAACATACTGAAAGAATAATTTTTTCACAAAATTCACTGATTCACTTGCAAATCTACTCAATTCAGTCATCTGCCTATGATAAGCATTGTCTGTGTATATCTACAATTCTACTGTATAGTGAGATCAATATTGATGCACAAATTTAAGGTAAGATTTTTTTTTTTTTAAACCAAATGACTTATTGAAAAGAACATTTGTGGGTCTGTTGCTTGTATGTCTTTTTATTACTTAAAACAAAATACAAACCCTAAAAATAAAAGAAATTAAATGTAAGCAGCTTTCTGCCATGTTTTGAGTTTATTCATAATAGGGTTTTTTGTAAAGATGTCAGAGAAAAAGAAAGCTAACACTAATAACCTCTATTCATAATTTAGCAGCAGGTCTCCATAACCATGGGATGTGTTTTGTACTAAAATGAAAATCATGAAAAAAATCTGCTTATTTTTTTCTGGCCGAGTGAAGTGCATTTTAAAAAAAGAAAGCCATAGTCACAGAAAATGCATAATAGTAGAAACTGGAACTGAATCATTCTAATACTTGGTAATGCATTTATAACAAAGGTAAGTCACTGTAATGATCTCCAGCTTGATAATGCTTCTTTTAGCCTGTCTATTCAATTGTTCAGCGTTCTCACTCTGCCTAACTGATCTCAGAAATCACCACAAACATTAAGCAAACCCCAAAACAAGATCCTGAGAACTATTTATACAAGTTACTGTGGCCAGTCAGGGCAATAAAACAATGGTTTACAAGAAGCCCAAATAAAATCTTGGGCTGCTCTGAGCAGGATGGCCTGTGGCAAGTCAGTGCATAAACACTCTCAGTGCAGAAATGGAGAGACGGTTAAAAAAGATGAGGGCAAGTACATGAATAAATCCAAGCGAGCAACACTGCCTCCGTTCTCATGCACCTTGGTCCCTAAAGTATGTTTGAGTTAGGATTATGCTTCTTTCCCTCCTACCACCCTTTAAGTCCTTTTAATCACTTGAAACTTGCATAAAATACAGAGTAAACTCTATATGAGGAGAGGTTCCCTTGTATTGCATGTTGTCTAAGGAAACCTCCATGTTATGATTAGATCTGTTATGGTTAGATCCTTAACAATTTATTTCAGTGGGAAAACTTCCACTGGATTTAATAGCAACAGGGCCTAAACTACATTTCCATGAATCACTTTAAGACAGTTTACCACTCAGCGATATTGGCTTCTTACCAAATGACCGTCCTATTTATGTCGTAAAGCAGATTTTCTTTGTTCCATGTTATATCCCTAGTCGTGGATGTGCTCTTAAAAGGAACCTGAAACTCGGATATCATAACCTCAGTGAAATAGCCTTAATACTATAACATATTACACTATTGTCGTGAATTACATTTTGGGAGAAAAAGTTCTCACGTGTCCTATAAAAGAAAAATTTACACTAGATCTATTTTAGTAGAGTGACTGTAGCATTGTGTCTCTCCTTGAGGTAAGTCTAAACATGTGAGAAAGATCCACAGGATAAAATCCAAATGTAAGTACCTCTTGCTACTCCAGGAATTTTCAAAATGATAAATGAAATGTCCTTGCTTGAAATTACATTCTGAAATCAAGGGCTTTGTTACATAAATAGCGATGTGCAACAGCAGTGGCACTCACCAGCTAAGCAAAGTGTCCTTGGGAAGCATTTGGGCATATATATAGGTTTTGCAATATGACCTATCTGCAGGGAGCACTACCGCCCAAAGGGCTGTGAGCATGGTCTGGGCAGTTAGCATGGCTGTTGGTGGGGCTATGCATCTGTAGGTGCCTGAAATAGTTTTCATCCTCCTCCTCACTGTTAGTGTTCTCCTTCTGGCTCTTCTGCAAGCTTCCTCTGCTAGCTCTGGATCCCAGCTGTTGTAAAGGCTGTTCCTGGCAGAAGTGTGTTGAGTACTCATTTAACATCAGCTTGAACCCCAGCTGCACAGAAGGAGGAACCTCAGAGCATATAGTAGGTTGAATGACAAATGGAGACTCCCATAGTGGGGAAGGCTGGAGATCTGTGACTCTTGGCATGAGAAAAATGACTACTTAGCCACGTTCAGATCTGACAATGAAGAACAGGTTCGGTTTTCTGACAGTAGATGAACAGGGACTTCTGATTAGTGACAGCAGCCAGTAGTAAGACACCCAGTGCCTTCTTTTATTCAAAGATGCTTTGGCCTCATAACTGTCTTCTGTAAGATAACTATTTTACTTGCTTTCCTCTCAGAGCAAGATTGTTCTTTACAGTAATAAATGGAAGGGTAATTGAAAGAAATGTACTGCCAATGAGCACTAAATCAGTACCAATCATTAGTGTGTTGTCTTACTCTGAAAAAGCTGCCCTATGATAATGGTGTAGACGATACAGACACTTCATGATACCAGAAAAAGCCAAGATAACAAAACTATGTAAAAAGTTATGCCTTACTTTTGTACAAATGGCTGATTTGAGAAAACCTATGGATGTTTCATAGACTTCTGCAGTAATTTGGAACATTTGCTTTCCATGCAATAGAGCAAAAATGTAAAGTTGTGAAACTGGAAAATGTTCTTACACTCTAGAAACTGTTGTAATGTAGCAGTACTCACATTGTTCTTATTTAGAAATCATTCAGGGTTTGCACGTCACATAATTCAGTGAACAGTTATAATTAATCATTTTTTTACACTGTATCCACTGTGCTAGGTACAGTATTTTTATTAGCAATACAGTGTATGTCATTTATAGACAAAGCTTACGACAAGCAAATACAGATTTGTGTTTGGCCTCTAGAGATGGAAAAGAGGAAGAGGACAAACAGTAATTACTCATTTATGAAAATATAATTTTCCAACAAACAGCCACAACTGCAGACTTCTGACAATAGCTCATCTTGAGCAGCATCTTTGGTTCCCACTTACTTCCATTACTTGTATCGCATCAACTGGGAATACTCTAAAATCAAGAATTAAAAACAAAATCATTTGGATTTTTCAGTGTTGTTTTGACTGACTCGTACTAAATACTGATAAACCACTACTCATTTTATCTCAGAAAGAAAATGTTCAAAGAGATTCATTTTTCCATGAGATGGTATTCTGGATCTTTGACTGTAATAAGATGGTGTTCCAAATCTTCAACGCCTGTAGTCTGTTTCATATAATAGTACAGGTCTGACGTGATTCAATCCACACAAGACTGTTCTTTTTCAGATTCATTTAAATCCATCTCAGTTTAGAAGAAGAAACTTATTTAACAGCTGTGTATGTTGATGCCATGTATGAATTGTACTGTCTTCTCAGGTCAGTTGCTCTTAGGCAGGTGGTCACATCACAAAACATTGGAGTAACTGCCTTGAAAAAATCACCCCGTGTCTCTCAGGGGGAAGGACAATAATTAACAACAGATGGAAATAGTTGCTCTTACCACAGGGATGAAAGGTACATTGGTAAAACAGGATGTGGGCAAATTTATGCTCCAGTTGTCTCTGTCTGTGGTTTGTGTCAGCCTGTGTCTGAACAGGAGATTCTGGCTTATGATGTGTCAAGATAATCAGAATAATTAATGTATTTTTGAAAAACAGAGAGAATGAAACAAGTTTAAAACTAGAGAAGTTCACTGACTTCAGTTGTCAGAATCTGACTTACTGTAATTCTGCAGAAATGGCTGAATTTTGTGTTTGTTTTTCATCTAACCCTAGTGTCAGAAGTAAGGGTATACAAGTTTTTCAATTAATGTATGTTCACATTTCCTAAAACTTTGCCTAGAACCTGAAAAATGTTACAAAATATTGGAAAAAAATGAATACAAGATGTAAGAAAATTTTGAAGGGGTTATCTTCCTAAATGCTACTGATGCAACAACAAATATTACAATAATGAGTGAAAGGCTGAATTTCTCCAAAATGCTGAATATTAAACTATTTGAAATCAACCAGAATTCCAGAGGATTTCAGTTCAGATTAAAGATATATATATATATATATATTTAATGAGAGAAGACATGCAAATTGATAAGTAACTCTTAAAATATTCTAAGATGACCATGTCGTGCATATGGTTGAATTTATCATATCTCTCACACAAAGAAAGGCAATGCTTGATAAGGGATTTTATTGAGTAATTATATTTTTTAACTTGCAAATAAAGCAAATTCACTTCCATCTTGAAGTAATTTACTAACAGTTTATAAACTCATCAAATACTAACATGGTACAGCATGCTTCATTTCCTGTTTACTTACTAAATGATCCTTTGTCTGTCTGCTTTGTGCCTTTCAGGCTGAACCTAGAATTGTTCTCTGCCAGAGATGTCATGGAGCCTAACGTGAGAGTCCTTCACCTGAAGGAAAACATTGCCTCATTGGCTTGGCTTCTTGCAAGCACAAGCCATGGTGGATTCCCTGTGGTTGGCAGGTCCAAGTCAGATCACACACAGGTGTTTCAAGGAACCATTAAAAGGTAAAAATGCTATCAAATTGATGTTATGTGATGTTTATGGCTATTTTTCATTTCTTTTTCTTTAAACATCTGCTTGTGAAGACCATATGGGATGAATATGAAACTTGTTCCTACTTTCTTTAGCATGAACAGCAGGTGTCTTTTTTAAGAAAGGACTCTGGAAAGCTTGAGGTGCATGGCTATCTATTTCATGAAGGATTTATTGAAAAATATCAATAAAATGATCTTATACGAATTGTAGAAAAAGGGGAAATTGCACTTCAGAGCATTAAAGTTTCAAAGAAACAGTAATTTTAAGGGATTTGAATCTAGTGACTCATGAAATGTCCTATGTCAATTCATAGTTGGCCTGTTCTTCTGTTGACTTTTTTTTCCCCATTTTTTTTTTTTTATTGTATGCTTTTTAAGGAAATAGATTAATGTAAATCATATAACAGACAAGATAAGCAACAAAATCACTAAAAATTTCATGCTGCGTAAACAAGAGTTAGACTAAAGGAATTCTCCTCATACTGGGGACTCTCAAAAGGCATATAAAATATCTTGATAAATGAAGTATTGCTGATACTGTACATTATATGCAAGAATGATTCTATTCTTTCACAAAAGAGTCTTAAGACTGTTCTTTGAGCAGTGGGTCAAGAGTGGGAGAGGCAGTGACTTAATTCCCACCTTGAGTATCCTAGAGGAAAGGAGAGGATGCACGTACAACTGTTTCCACATAGGAGTTCACATAGCAAAGCCCTATGAATGATAATTCCAGTAACCTTAATATGAACACATGGTATTCTCTGTGCTGAATGTTCATAGTATTCTAACACGTTCCCTTACAGAGAATTTTTGTCACTCTTAATTGGGCAGAAGTTGGTAACTTCCTAGATAAATGTATTTCCTTCTATTGATCTGGATGGGGAAAAATGTTATTCATGTATCATGAGTGGAAATTTGATTAGGACTTGCCTCCTTGCCTGTTTTATAGCAACTTTTCAAGAATGAACTATTGACACTGGACCACATGAACCTTCCTCATACACAGCTCCATGGTCAGCAGAAATTTTGGAGCATAAAGATAGAAAGTGGGTGAATAATTAATAAAGCCTGTGAACTTTGCATGAATCTCTCAGAGAAACATTGGCTTGTAAAGAGAAAGCTGTACAGTGCAGATTGTTTGGGTTGTAGTGGCCTGAAGAAGTAACATCAATAGTTGCTGACCTTGGGTTGTAGTGGCCTGAAGAAGTAACATCAATAGTATCATATACTTGTACATGGTATATACTCTTGTTCCTTCATTGTGATGCTGTCGTAAATGCTAACAAAAAACGTGCTAAGGTGCTAAAACTTAAATTTTGGAGTGATAGTCCGCCGTGTACAGCAATCTGAAAATATTATATGCCATCTAGTAGCACACTTGTTTAGTTCTCAGCTGGACTCAATAATAAAACACACTAACAACAGACCAAGGCAGTGTCTTTTAAATTGAACTGATAATCTTATAATAATTTCCTCATTAATTCACCAAATGACCTGGTAGTGAGAGTCTCAGGCTGCTGGGGGGGATGCTGAGTTTACACAAATGCTGTTGTGCTTTGTAATGCAGAGCAAAGTTGTTGCAAGCAAACAAAAAAGAGGGGTCAGAAGGATGATCATGAGCACATGCCAAAAAGAGACACTTTTAGAGGCAATCTGATGCTACCTGACAATTCTGGTAAGCTTGTTGTTTGCTTCATCCCCAAAACTACATTCTAACAGAATGTATTCAGAGAGAGGGGGTGAACAAAATATTTTTTTCCCTGGCACTCTCAGCATGAATGAGCTGTTGTTAGACTGTTTTGAGTAGAATCAAGATAATATTTTAAATAGTTGACAAAGTAGCAGCAAATGTGAGGGTTTTTTTTTTTGTTCAGTCCAATGTTTATTACCCGCACCAGTGAAACCCATAGTGAATGGCTGTCTGAGAGCAAGCTCTGCGATCTGGCACGCTCTGTCAGCGCCCTTCTCACCCACCATGTGTCCAGCTGCCTGAGAACTGCTGTGATGAGGTCTGGGTGCCTTGTTCCCAGCAGGGAACATGGGTAACTTTGCTATTCTGCCACGGTTCCTCACCAACTCCAGGAAAGGAATGCTCTGCAGCCAGCCTCTGAAACAAGCCTCCAAAAATGTGATTTGTCATGGAATTAGTGTATTCATAACCATAAGTAGCTAGGATTTGGTTTTCCATCTTACTCATAAAATTACAGCTCTTGTGGCACGTAACTGCTAGGATCAACATGAGAAATGCTGTGAACTCCTTAAAGGAGAATGGTGTTGTTCATTCTCTTACTGCATGGGATCCACTGCAATCCCATGTGGAGGTGACAAAGCCACAGACAGAAAAAGTATAATTTGTTTTTCCATCTTATACATCAACAATGTTCAAGTGGAGAAAATGTAGTTTGCTTGGCATGTTTTAAAAATTGCAGATGAGGGAAGATCCAATAGTATTTGCCATTATGTTTTTCTTGAGAGTTTCCGTGGACATTATTATTGATTCTTCAATTTTTTTTTTTGTTTCTTCTGGCACAAAAACATTGGTATTTCTTTTAAAAAAAGTAGGGGCAAGGAGCTAAAGAAGGAAAAGAAGTGACATACCTACTAAGGCTGCAGGAAGGCAACAGCAGCTTGTATTTTTTTCATACGGTTTCACACTTCTGTGTATTTCTGTACCATTTCTTGTCATAAAATACACATGGATGAAACACTGAAAATTTTACTGAATGCAAAGTTCGTTTAGTACCTCCCTATACCTCGAAACTGCAGTGATGCAAGTTACTGTACAGGGACAGAGTGTTGTTATGTTATCGTAATGCATACGAAGGATTTTGACTCTTTTTTCAAAGGGTCAGTGTCAGTTCTTACAAAAGCAAGGACTGAGGCCAAGGAGTGTTGGCTGGGACTTGTGTGAGCCTACAACTGCACCTCAGTACTGGATTGAGCAAACACCCAGATATTCCAATTTTTTTTGAAAAAATAAACAAACAAAAATCTTCAAGCCCTGCATAACGGGGCCAGACTTTTTTCCTAGACCTTGCGATCTGGATGGTTATCCACTGGGGATTAAGATGAGATCACCAAACACATTTTACATGGATAACCTAAATCTGAAGCTGTTATATTCCTCAACTGAGTAAGCAGTAGAAAATCAAAACAACTACTAACAAAAACTCCTTGGCTTTAAAATTGTTGAAGAGGAAGCAAACTGTATCTGAGAAGCAAGTTTCCAAAACAATGTTCTCCTCGGAGTAACTCTTTTGACACTATGCCATGGACAGTGCTGTGTGCATGCCTGGGAAACCCTCACAGAGTTTGGTTTGAGGAACGTGTGGCTGGTGAGCTAGATGCACGGCGTTGATAGGGATGCTCAGCCTGCTCTGTGCAATGCAGCCCACTGTGAGCAATGTGGGGAAATGCCTCCCCCCTTCATTTCTCCCACAGCAATGATGGTTCTTCAAAATGAAACGGGCAGTTCCTTCTCTCTGCTGTTGAAATGCATCCCCTATCTACTCCCAGCAATTGCAGAAAGGGAGCTGGGCTGTTAAGAAGGGGCTAGCCTGGAGTCCACTGAGTGCCGTGTCATGGCTTATGTTGCATGCTCTCCTGGCTATGGTGGCAGTTGCACTCACAGTGGAACTCATTCTTTGGGTATACCCGAGGACAGAAGCACTGCCTGACTCCCTGAACATTTCTGCCTGGGACACTGTGTGAGGCTGTCAATACATACTGAGGAATTGCCTAGGAGATCCCCTGTCTCGTTTGTCTTTTTGTAGCTGCACATCTTCCTGCAGCAGGATAAGATATTTCTGCCTAACTTCTGGGAAAACTTAGTTTTTCTAGGGGAAAAAAAGAACTTCTGCATATGTTACAATGTAGTCATGTAGAGCCATTGTGGGGCAATGAAATGATTCTGTTATGTGGTGAACAGATTAGACACATCATCACTAGTGTTTTGTTGCTCCATTTTCTTTTGCCAGAGGTTACTTTATAATGTAATCTACCATAAAAACTGAAGACATGGAGGATTTGTGGAGGAAAACTGTAGGTAATTCACTGATTTTCCTGGGCTGTGGACATGACTGGGAAATAACATGGGGAGTGATGGTACCTTGTAGTCATCGGTGACATTTTTGCCACCATGCTGCACAACCTCCCATGTATGATTGCCTCTCTCCACATGTCCTTGTGTCACTCCTGTCCTCTACGACTTCTTACACCAAAATGGATGAGAATTTGCTCTCTGTCTAGATGTTAGTTTCTAAGGAACCCTTTACCTCTTAATGTATTTAGTTTCTCCCAGTAAATGATAAATGCCCTGTTGTTCTCAGAGACCGTTTCAGTATCAAGTGGTATAATTGGCTTTAATTCACTTTTTCCAAGGAAAGGGAAGAATTGAGGTTTTCTGTGCTGCAATTTAATCCTCCCAGCATTCACTGAAGAAGAGCAGGTGGATGTTGGTGACTTGTTAGGCCAGTGTCAGTCCCTTCTGTTTCTTTTAAGGAAAATCAGTGCAGAGAGGCAGAACTGGCAGTACTGTGCCTGGCTATCTTAATTTCTGCCTAGAACACTGCTCTGATCCAGTCTGCCTGGAAAGACTGTTGGGTAGACAAACACAACCAAGTAGCCCATCAGGGAATGTTACCATAGCAAATAAGCCATTCTGTTCATGCTTGAACTTCTCAGATCTCCATTCACAGCTCCTCTATTGTAATGTTCAAGCCTGGATTCCCTGTTTTTGCCTTTGCACTCTTACCTACACAGCTGTTAGCCATTACTCTGCATTTTGTTTGTCTATCTTTTAGATGAAGGAATATTTTTTTTGCTTGATTTAGTTTGATTGGGAGAAAGTAATTATGCAGAAACCACAATATCTCTGACCATAAGCAGACTGTACAGAATAAATATATCTAAGCAGAAACGGGTAAAACTTGGTTTTCTGCTACTTCTGTACAGGATGTGACATTTCTGGC